TTTTTTTTTGCAATTGAAATAAATTTTATCCTCAATTGTAACAAATTATATCCCTCTAATTGACAATTTTCATGGAAGACAAAGACAAACGAATACCAAAAAATCCAAAATTTCAATATTTTCCATGTAGAAAATTATATCAATCAAACACAATTAATTGACAATTTTCAGTAAAACAAGTTCTAGACAATTCAATTCTATGAAATTCATTTTCTTTCCACCCAAATTTCATTCTTGCAATCAAACGGATCCTAAATGTAATTGGTGACTTTGGAGTCTGGAGATGAATATAGGCGCTGATTACATGGTTCAATCTTGTTAATTACATTATTTCATATTTATTACACAGATGAATCTGATACTGTTTTCCTGGAGTCTTTTGTACTGTGGACACATCTCTTCATAATTTAAATATTAACCATTTCATAGTTTCATAAGATCATTCGACTGTATTAAATATTGACTGTATTTAAATACTGTTTTCCTCTTCCTGTTTTTTAGTGTTTAAATTATATTGCATATTTTATGTAAAACTTGAAAATGGAAAAAAAATTATGTCAATGATGCAATGAAGAGCCTCGTCAAAAGTTAATTTATGGAGAGAAGGATGGAAAAAAAAAAAATGGATGAGAAATGAACAATAATTCAAATTTTGAAGAATAATAAAATAGTTAATACGTGAGTCTAATGTTTTCCTTGGCATAGCTTAATATTTTAGCGGTTCGACCATTATAGGGTTAGGAGTTGGAGTCTCCAATGAGAAAAATTTCAAGTTTTATTGGAGTGTTTTAGAAAATTTGTATATATTGTTAGGTTGTTCTAATCTTTTCTTTCAATATAAATGATATTAGGACGACTCTTCATTCTATGTATTGTACTATAGATAAATGAGATTTCAAACAAATTATAATTTTCTTTTCGATATAGCGTAGTAGCATTGCCTGCAATGACTCACATTGAGGGAAAGCAACATAACTGGTCAAATAATCCACCTTGGTCTAAATTACTGTTTGAGAGGTAAGATCAACCCTGCATTGCTTGAGTTGCAGCATTTGAATTACCTGGACCTAGAGTTCAATGATTTTGAATTCAGTCAAATACCAAAATTCATTGGTTCCTTCACGAAATTAAGACACTTGAAACTTCGGTACTCAGACTTTTTTGGAGACGTTCCTTACGAACTTGGTAACCTTACCAACCTGCAGACTCTTGAACTTTCTAGCCGACAATTGACAGTCAAGACCCTTGAATGGCTTTCTCATCTTTCTTTGTTATCGTATCTTGACTTGACTGATGTTAACCTTGTTGAAACAAACTGGCAGCAGCAAATAACAAAGCTCATTTTCCTCAAAGACTTGCGTTTGTCGAACTGTCAACTTTCCAATACTTTGCCGGCCAAAGATATCTTTGCTAATTCTTCCTTTCCCTCTCTTGATTTCCTCGATCTATCCACAAATCACCTCACTTCCAATTTCGTTTTCCACTGGTTGTTTAAGCTACAAGCATAGACCTCTCCCATAATCGATTAGACGGTCCTATTCCTGATGCCTTCGGGGAACTGATTTTTCTTGAGGACCTTAGTTTATATAACAATAAGCTACATGGTGGGATTCCCAAATCTATGGGGAATGTAAGTCATTGGATCTTGCTAGATTTATCTGGAAATAATTTAAATGAGTCTATTACCGAGTTATTTCGCAATTTGTCCGGAAAAGTAGAAATGTCGCTTGAGAGTCTAGAACTCTGTTGGAATCAATTTTTTGGTGCCTTGCCAGATCTCACCAAATTTTCACGCTTAAGGAAATTGAGACTCTGCAGGAATCAACTAAATGGGTTTCTCCCACAAAGTCTTGGACAACCTTCGAGACTTGAAGTTTTAGACTTAGAATACAATCATATTTCAGGATCATTGCCAGAATTGAAAGTATACTCATCATTGATAGAACTATGTCTCACCAGCAATCAATTTAAAAGGCTACCTGAAGGCATTTGGCAACATTCCAAGCTTGAAATTTTCATCGCCGCTTCAAATTTGTTGGAAGGTGCAATCACTGATGCCCAACTCTCTAACCTTGCCAACTTAAAAAGCCTAGATTTATCCTTCAATAGTCTGACTTTGAACTTGAGCTGTGACTGGGTTCCTCCTTTTCAATTGAATGATATATTCCTTAGCCATTGCAATATGGGTCCTCATTTTCCAAAATGGCTTCAAACTCAGAATAGATATGTAAATCTTGATATATCTGTTGCTGGCATATCAGATGCAGTACCTGTTTGGTTTTAGAATATGTCTTTCGGAAGATACTTAAATATCTCTCATAACCAGATGAGAGGAGAAATTCCTGAAGTTTCCAATAAAGATATATTTTCTAAAATTGAGGATTTGAGTCATAATAATTTGTCGGGTCCAATACCACTATTTGCTTTTCAATCAGATCAATTACATATCTCCAAAAGTATGTTATCTGGATCCATTTCTCTTGTATGCAAGATTCCCAATGACTTCTTCACCTCCATCCTTGATCTCTCAGATAACCAGTTATCCGGAAAGCTTCCTGACTGCTGGAAGAGCTTAACAAATTTAATCGTTCTTAATTTAGCAAATAATTATTTTCGGGGTAAAATTCCCAACAGTATTGGTGCTTTATATCGGCTTCAGGCGTTGCACTTGCGCAACAATAATATCATGGGCAAGTTGCCATCTGCTTTGAAAAATTGCACAAACTTGAGAATGATTGATTTTGGAGAAAACAAGCTCACAGGAGATATTCCAGCATGGATAGGGACTCATATAACAAGATTGGCAGTTCTTAGCCTTCGATCTAATAAATTTCATGGAAATTTATCTCCAACAATTTGCCAGCTTGTCAATATTCAAATCTTGGACCTTTCTATAAACCATATATCAGGGAAAATTCCACGGTGTTTAAACAATTTTACTTTTTTGGTTGAGAAAAATAGTTCAATTGAAACAAATCCAATCGGTGAGGTTTTCTTTGAAAGATACGTCGACATTGTTTTGGTTCAATGGAAAGGAAANTGACAAAGTTCCAAGTTTAGTGATTAATGAAACTTTTTACTCGAAAGCTGGGGCTTCTAAAAGGCATTGATCTTTCTGGCAATATGTTTGTTGGAACTATTCCTCAAGAACTTTCTGATATGAGGGGTTTAATTTTCTTAAACTTATCGAGAAGCCATTTGACGGGAAACATTATTTCAAGCATAGGTCAAATGGAGATGTTGGAATGGCTCGACTTGTCTAGAAACCAGCTTTCTGGAGAGATTCCCACTGGCCTTGCAAATCTAAATTTTCTCAGCATTCTGGATTTATCATACAATAATTTGACTGGGAAGATTCCATTAGGCACTCAACTACAGAGCTTCAACCCCTCTGCCTATGGTGGGAACAACAAACTATGTGGGCGTCCTCTAGCAGAGTGTCCTCAAGATGCTCCTGATCCTTCGCTGGCTGATCATGGAAAAGAAAACAATGTTGAAGAAGATGATCGGTTCATAACTCGAGAGTTTTACTTCTGTATAGCATTTGGTTTCATTTTTGGATTCTGGGCCGTTATTGGTACTTTGTTTCTCAAGCATTCATGGAGACATGCCTATTTCAACTTCTTCAACAACGTTGGAAAATGGATGTATGTGACAACAGCGGTATATGTAACAAGATTTACAAGAAAACTTCGCGGGTAACGGTAAGTCAAAATTTACTTAAATAATTTCCTTCCATTCATTTAATTGATCTCCTGTAGGAAGCTTCTCCATTTTGACTCTCTGAATTCAATTTGGAATCCTAACATATCTACCTTGTCTGAGTGTTCCATCAGAGTGTTAAATTGATTATTTTCTAGTCATGTTGTGTCACCCATGTTATCATTGAGTTTTGACGTCGATCCTAAAAAGTCAACATTGTTAAAAAAAAAAAGGTAGCTTAAGCCCTTCTGTATGTGACTATTTTACATATTTAAGTCATGTGAGATGTTCCCATGACATGTCTTGCAAGCAGGCCCGCCCCTGCGACGAGGCGTATGAGACCTGCGCCACAGGCCCAAAACTGGAGGGGGCCTATTTTTTGGGCAAATTTATTATTCTTTTTTTTATTTTTATTTTGCAATCAGGCCCAATACCGGAGGGGCCTAATCTTTTGCCCAATTATAATTTTTTTTATTACAAAATGAAAATAAAAATGGAAAATCAATTTTCATTCTCTCCTTCAACCTCGACTCCGACCACGATATCGACACCGTCTCTTCTCGATTGACTACAGTCGACCGGCGCCACTCCTCCAGTCCTCTAGTTCTTCCCTTCTTTTCCCTTCACTCTTCACAAATCGCAAGTTTCACACATTTCACAACTTTTTTCGACCCTAACCTTGGAAGTCGCGATGTCGTGAGGAATCCCCACTCCTGAGTCCTTCGACTAGTCGACAGTCTACAATCTCCACCTCCAAGCTCCAGTCACCCGTTGACGTTTCCCAGTTGCCCTTGTCAGGGGTAATAGTCCAAGTTTCCAACGCAGCGGAGTTGCAAAAATGTATCATGCATGCATATTGATTTAAGATTTTGGTTAGAATTCTAATTTTCAATTTTCAATTTTCATGGAAGGGAATCAGGGATTTAATTTGGGAGGTTTGGACCAATTTTTGCTGTTGATTTCTCATTCCTGCTTATAGAGTCATGAAAATTGATGGTTTGGACCAGTATTATCACTTTTGCCAAAAGTTTCATATTCTAATTATAGTGTGTACTTATCCACTTAACTGCAAATTAACCTTATCAAGCATATATTGGGTATTTCATAGACATAATATGTTGCCTTATTATTTTCCCTTTGAATGCTTATGACTTTGCTGTTGATTCCTCATTCCTATTTATTTCTTTCCCTATGTGATGTTGTCCTAATAAAATGTTATATTTTTATTTCAGGCTTATGAGAGGTAACGGTAGAATTCTCAAGGGTGTGAATTGTGATTCCATAGTT